CCAAAATTACCTCCGGTTTGTCTAAACTTTGAACCCAGCAAACGCCGCGCCGCTCTTGGTCACTGAGCTCTCCTACCCAACCTACCGTGCACCTCTCACTGCATTGTACAATTCCCTTTGGTATTCCGGTAACATCGTGTAAGTTTTTGCAAATATTCTGAATCAGAAGCAACATATTGAAATATATTGTATAGCGCAACATGGTCAACTTTCGGAACCAAGTTTATGAACAACACTTTCTCATGGCGTATTCCCTCTATGTTGCAAGGTCTTCCCGCCGTCTTTCAGTTCTGCCTTGTCTGGTTGGCCCCAGAGTCCCCTCGTTGGCTTGTTTCCAAGGGCAAAGAGACACAGGCTTTGAAAACTCTCGCCTACTACCATGCCGATGGTGATGAACAAGATCCTCTTGTTCAATTTGAGTTCCAAGAAATCAAAGCTGCTATCGAACTCGATCGTACCAGTAAGTACAGTCTATGTTGTCTGTTGAGATGCGAATAATGCCGCTCACTATTACGCAGTTGCCGCTAATATTGGCTGGAAGTCGCTCATTGCCACCAAGGGTAACAGGAAGCGTATGTTGCTCATCGTCGCCATCGCCTTCTTCTCACAATGGTCCGGCAATGGTCTCGTGTCCTACTACCTCACCAAGATCCTCATTTCAATCGGAATCACCTCTTCCACTATCCAGTTGCTCATTGGAGGGTACGTTTACATTTTTCTATACGTTTGTGTGACCAGTCAACTGACCCTCTTCTCAGTATATTGGCAATCTGGAATTTGTGCTGGGCTGTGTATGCTTCATTCTTAATCGACCGTGTCGGCCGTCGGACACTCTTCCTTACCTCTACCGCTCTCATGCTTCTTTTCTTCTCGGCTCAAACAATTTGTACTGCTCGGTATCAAATCGCCGGTGGAAATGACGCTGCACATGCTGTCATCGCTTTCATCTTCCTTTTCTATGCCTCTTACGAGTACGTATCATTGTTTTGCCTAATGTTGGGTCCTGAAACTGACAAAAAATTTACAGTCTTGCATTCACACCCCTCATCGTCGCCTACACTGTTGAAATCCTTCCCTACAACATTCGTGCGAAGGGTTTCAATATCTTCAACTTCACTATCTCTGTAGCTTTGATTTTCAACCAATATGTCAACCCTGTCGCGTTGAAAAACATCGCATGGAAGTACTACGTAAATCATCTACCTTTTCTTCTCAAGAATTTTGCAAATTTACTGATGGCATCTTTGCTTAGGTTGTCTACTGCTGTTGGCTCGCATTTGAATTCGTCTTCTTGTACTTCATGGTCATCGAAACGAAACATCTCTCCTTGGAAGAAACTGCTGCACTTTTCGATGGAGAAGACGCCACAGCCAACCTCTCCAACGCCGTTCAAGACATCAGACACGACGAGAAATTCGTCGATGAGAAGGCATCCGACGCTTTTGCGCCTGAGAATGGACTCAAGGCGTAGTTCCCTTGAGTCTCGTTTTGGATCTCTCTTCTCTTCCTTTTCCTTTTATTTTGGGATTGGATGTCAGGAAGAGTGTTCGTGTGCATCAACGGTATTATAAACAATCTATCACTACCACTCATTTAACACCTACATTCATGATTCTTTGCACATAACACACTTCCTGGTGTCTTTGATTGACTATCGTTTGCTATTCCGCAGTTGGGACGAACTTCTTTCTCGCATAACGTTTTTAATGTCTGTTTGGGGATAACGGAACGTTTTTCACGTATATAATTTCTTCCCTTCATGTATTCTCATGTATCATTTTACGCGGATTTAGGCTCTCTCTCCTTACTTGGCTCTCAACTTATTACCTTACTCTACCTCTTTCGTAGGTTGTACATCAGCAGCAAAAATACACATCTGCTTCCATAATCCCATTCTATCTCCTAGACTGAACCTTTCGTTATAGTCTGCATGCATTTACTAGTTCACATTGGAATTGTATCGATATACTTGGCTTTTCTTTTCCCATGTCGGTCGTCAGCGGGTCAGCGCCTACACTCCCGCCATTCAGATTGTCATCTATTTTTTCGCCTGGAGGCAAGTGAACTGAAGTTCTATGATAAGACACTTGATCGCAGCGCAAATGGAGTATGGTACCTCGTTTTGAAAAGTTCTCACATCATGCTCACTGCTCAGCATGGTGCATATCACAGTGGGGGCGAATTCGCTATTCCGGTCACCAAATACAGGTAACACCGTGGCAAAAGAAACAATGACTTCGTGACATCCTTTGCTTTTCTCCTCAAGTAATTTCATGGAGAAAACAATCCAATGATTGGTAACATCATGCTGGCAATATTGATATTGTGATTGGTGATGTTTCCGGACATAACATTTCTATTTCTGCCTGGTGCACATCATGCAGAGGATATACCCATTTTGTTCAGTGTGCCCTTTCATGTTGCCGGAGGAAAAATGGGTTGACCCCTGCTGTGTAAAGCAGACTGTCGACGATCTTTCTGAGAATATCCTTATTTGTCCTATTGGTGTAAAATTGATGGTTTGAAATTTTTGATCGGTATTATCTAGATCTGTTGTCGTTTAGACACGTGGATCACAGTACATTCAATTCCTGTAATTTTACGTTGATTCTATGACTTTATTTTCTTGTCGCTATCTGTCACTATCCTTCGTGTCCATGACAAAAGGACACAGACTTCGAAATTTATTCTTCGTCAGAACATCATGATGAAGTTTATGATGGTAGGTAGGCTTTCCTCTGTTATACAACTGAATTGCAATTTACGATGGGAATCATTTTCAGTGACCAAGGTACACAACAATTCGAGACTCCTTCATTCTCAATTGAATACCAGGATACATTATCATCCAAAGTTCAATCCAATGCAAACGGACTTCAGGCGGGATTCGAACTGCTTGAGTTGCCCACCGGTTTCTCTATGTCATACGCGTATGATATAGTCTGAGGTCATGAGGATCTCAATCTTCATGCGGCATGCACAGTGTTGGCGTCAGGTGAGTCCACACCGTCTGCGGAAGATTGTGTGATTAAATATATACTGTATAGAGCACTGGTGTGACCTTTACTCTGGCCAATATGTTCACGAACGCAAATACCTCAACGTGCGCTCCGGAGCACATCGGTTCATCCTATCTATCACTGTTAAAACTTAACAGCTTTTTTGAAACGAGAGATAAGCATTGGGTACTAAGTGCCGAACGTCGAGGTAGGTCTGGTAGGTCGAAAATATACTTGGTCGATGTTTTCGAGACATTGACCGCGTCGGTCTATCCGTTTGACATTAGTTTTGAAATTTACAGAACTTACATACATCCTCGTCCCAAGCTTGAAGGTCTCTCGGTAACAAATGGCGTCAACCAAGATCGCAAGCTATAGACGAAAGTTGCCTCCCGAAGATTCAGGATAATCGGACCGCTCAGCATCATACTATGAAGACTGAGTACTAAGTACTGAGTGCTTCTGGTGTAATCGCCGTTGACCCCCTCTGGACTTTGCCTTCGCTCCATACTCATTCGGGGAGATCCTACCGCCTCCTTTACAACCTTGGAAAATCGTATATCCAACTTCCGCCGTCCACACAAACTGCCGTCCCGTTCCTGGAGTCTATATACTTACCTGAGTCCCACTGATGCTTCTGTCATCAACTCCACCTGAAAGCATCCGTCGCATTGCTCTGGTTACAGTTTACAGGTGAGAGAATGGTACCCGGTGACATTCCAAGGGTCTTTGAGCCATATCCTGTGTTTGCTGTCATGCGCAAGTATCATTGCCCGCCGGTATCATGGATTAAATAGGTGTCATTCGGCGACTCAACTCAGGCTAATAAACCAATGATCTATTGATACTTACTCCATGATAAATCCCAACATATAGTACGTTCACCTTAAAATGCGTTAACGTTTGCAAATCGTTTGTAGCTTGACTGATATCTGCGCAAAATCTAGGATAGGACTCTCGATTCCCTCAATCTGGATGATATACATCGAACACTGCCACGACACGGAATCATGCTGTACTAACCTCAGTTTTATGCATACGATTCAATTGTATTCAATTGGAAAAAGGCGTAAGTGAAAGCCCGTCCGGCCTTTTTCAAAAGATTTCGAGGGTTTCTGTGCGTCGGATTGTTTGACCGTTCATTGTTACTCATGGTCGATTCAGATCAGGACTGGAGGTATGGCTTGCAAAACAGCCAAGTACTAGCTCTTAATTGGCACTGGATACGTTCGATAATGATATTTTGCTGTCGTACTCATTCAATATGTTATCATTCAATTTCTCTGGAAAATCTGCCTTTCAATTACACACCGTACGATTAAAATAACAACGTCAAGTTAACACGGATAATGCATGTGCAGGTTGTTGGGTTCCAGCGGTCGTTAAGGAGTGCTGTCCCGGGGCTGAGTCTATTCCATCGGGTCTGAAGATGGAAAGAATTGTTCTCCCTTTGGAAAACTTGATTGAAAGGCGATTGAAGAGAAATGCTGATTTAATGGCTTTACACTATGTTTGATTCAATATCAAGTGATGCAACTCGGAAACAAACTGCTTTTACCCGCTTACTCACCAAGATGGGATAGGTTTCATTCTTGGGTTCATTTGGGTGGAAATCCTCGAACTCGGAGGTTTCTTCAGACGTATGTAGGCTTTACATCTCGAAGTCTATTGGGAAGAATTTCTGATATAAAAATGTTGAGGGGAATTTCAACGTGATGGGTCATTGTCTCCGCGTCGTAGGTGTGACAAGAATACATAGTGGTGGTCCGGAAAATAGATAGACGTGTACTATCAAACCACCACATCTACGCGTATGTACACTGAGTAGTATTCATTGAAATGGCCGTGGGAACACCTGAAGAACCAAGTTTTCCACATTCGAGCACTCTCCAGGTTTCGATTGACTTCTGCCTTAACGTTCTTGAATGTGATACTGTGGATTGATTTCGAAGTCTTGAGAGCCACGTGTCATTACCTGCGTCAGCCACCGAAGGAAAAAAGCGTCACCTGTGCGATTCGAACACACGCGTGCAAAGCACAACCGCTTGGCTGAAAATAGCAGGCGATCCCGTTAACCACTCCGGCAAAGTGACTTGTCTAAGTTAGAAAAAGACACTTCATAATATCAAAAAGTCCTTAGTCGAGACTAATATTCACTCTACCTATTTAAATATGTTTTTCGTCGGCGCTTTTTCAACTTTCTTCCTTCCCGTTTCAATGAAGGCCAATTACAAGGTGTGCTCCCCCTTCCTCTCAACGTCACGTCTTCACAATTACTGATGTCTTTTCACAGTTTTCGAATCTCTGCGGAACAGTATACAGGCAAGGAAATATCGTGTTTACTCCAGACGGCAACTCTGTGTTTAGTCCAGTAGGGAATAGAGTATCCGTCTTCGACTTGGTCAAGTAAGTTTTATACCTTCTGCTTTCATTCAAACTGTACTAACACACCTCAGTAACAAGTCGTACACCTACCCCTTCGAAAATCGCAAGAATATTGCAGCCATCGCTTTAAGTCCAGATTCAAATGTATTGATAAGTGTGGATGAAGGTATGTCTTGATTCACAGCGTTGTAACGCTGATTCTCAGGAGTCTCAACAATTATCACAGATGGCAGAGCTCTTCTTGTAAATGTCAGACGGGGGGTTGTTTTACACCATCACAATTTCAAGAAACCAGTTAAGGCTATCAAGTTTTCCCCGGATGGAAAGTGAGTGTCTGCTTCCTTGTCCCCAATTTTCTTTCGTTCTCATCTCTCATTTCTTTGTGGAACTCGAACTTTGTAACTTAGATATATTGCTGTAACCCATGACTCGCATATTCAAGTCTGGCGAACACCCAACCACCTCCTGCGAGAATTTGCACCCTTTGTCCTTCATCGAACTTATACAGCTCACCATGACGAGGTCACTGGTATTGAGTGGGCTCCAGACTCCAGGTATCTCAGTTTCTATATCATCTTCATACACGCTTGTACTCAGATCATATCCAGTTGCTTTCTTACCACGTCAAGAGATATGACTGCTCGTCTTTTTACACTAAATCCTGTGGAAGGCTTCCGACCCAAAACATTTGCAGGTCATCGAGATATTGTCGTTGGAGCATACTTCTCAGTGGATGGTAAAACGGTGAGTATTTCTGTCGTATTTACCATCTTCAATCCTTACAAGTATGAGACAGATCTATACCGCCAGTCGTGATGGTGCTGTGTTTACTTGGAAAGCCAAACCACGAGAATCTAGTTCAGAGTCGGAATCTGACTTAGAAAATGATGAACCAATTGCCTCCACATCAAAAGCCGCTAATGAGATCGCCAACACTAGATGGGGCATACATAAGCGCAACTATTTCAACCTGCCCAACACCCGTGTCGTTTGCTGCACATTCCACGGGCCTTCTAATCTCCTCGTGATTGGATTCTCTACTGGCGTATTTGGATTATGGGAAATGCCAGCATTCACAAACATACATACACTCAGCATATCGCAAGAAAAGATTTCATCCGTCGCTATCAGCGCTTCTGGGGAATGGTTGGCTTTTGGAGCCAAGAAGCTTGGACAACTTCTCGTCTGGGAATGGCAGTCCGAATCATACGTTCTCAAACAGCAAGGTCATTATTTCGACATGAACACATTAGCTTACGCTCCAGACGGTCAAAATGTCGCTACAGGTGGTGACGACGGCAAAGTCAAACTGTGGAATACAACTTCTGGATTTTGTTTCGTCACATTTTCCGAACATTCAGCCGCAGTTTCTGCAGTCGAATTCGCCAAGCAAGGTCAAGTTCTCTTCACAGCCTCACTAGACGGAACAGTTCGAGCTTTCGATCTTATTCGATACCGGAATTTCAGAACGTTCACTTCACCGTCACCCGTCCAATTCTCTTGTCTCGCAGTCGATCCAAGTGGAGAAGTTGTTGCAGCAGGATCTACAAATTCATTTGAAGTCTTCTTATGGTCCGTTCAAACGGGAAAACTTTTGGATGTACTTACTGGACACGAAGCTCCCATAAGCTCCCTGGCGTTCTCGCCTACCGGAAACTTGTTAGCAAGTGGCTCTTGGGATAAGACAGTTCGCGTATGGACTGTCTTTGGTCGTTCCAGGGCTGTTGAACCTTATCAACTCAGCGCGGACGTATTGGCTGTCGCTTTCCGACCTGACGGGAAGGAACTAGCTGCTTCAACGCTTGATGGTCAAGTCATTTTCTTCGACGTCGAACTTGGAAAACAATCTAGTGTCATCGATGGGCGGAAGGACGTCTCTGGAGGGCGCAAAGCTGACGATCGTATGGCAGCAGCTAACAACTCGTCAGGAAAGTCATACAACAGTCTGACCTACACCGCGGACGGACAATGTTTACTCGCTGGAGGAAACAGTAAATATGTCGTCATCTACGACGTTCGTGATGGAGTCATGGTGAAAAAATTCCAAATTTCTCAGAATCTCAGTTTGGATGGTACCGAAGAGTTCTTGGATAATAGGAAAGTTACTGAAGCAGGGAATGTGGATTTGATTGACCAGAGAGGTGACGAAAGCGATTTGGAGGATAGAGTGGATCACTCGTTACCTGGTGCGCAGAGGGGAGATATGTCTAAGAGGAGGTATCGTCAAGAGGCTCGAACGAAATGTGTCAAGTTTTCTCCTACCGGTCGAGCGTGGGCTGCCGCCTCTACCGAAGGTCTTCTCATATATTCCATTGATGATACGCTCGCTTTTGATCCCTTTGACTTGGATATCGACCTCACGCCTCAATCTCTGCTCAAAGTCCTCGCTAATCGGGAGTTCCTCAAAGCGTTGATTATGGCTTTCAGGCTGAATGAGAAACCTCTCATTCACAAAGTTTACGAGAGTATTCCGAGACAAGATATTCGTCTTATGGCTAGGCAACTGCCCATCGTCTACCTAACGCCAATGTTGCGCTTCGTTGCTGAACATTTGGAGAAGAGTCCTCATCTGGAGTTCGACCTTTTGTGGGCGAATGCGTTGTTGGCCGCACACGGAAGGCATCTACGTGATCGATCGGGAGAGTACGCGAGTGTATTTAGGATGTTGCAAAAGGGTTTGATGGATTCTGAACAGAGCATCTCGAGATTGTGAGTGATATTTATTCGTCTGAGTTTCTCACTCAACTAATTCTGTTATTTCTTCAGGTGCGATGACAATAGTTCTACACTTTCATACCTTATTGACCAGTCGATGGTGAAAGAAGTGGCTGACGAGAAATCAGAGATGCAAGTCGATGACAATGTCTAGCTATGACCTATTCTTCCTGCTTGCGTGGAAAAGTACGTGTATGGATTTATAATTCGTTTGTACATCTAGTCTCGCTTTCAGATAGTCCCGTATTATCACAATTCGACGGCTTCCAACTCAAACTTGAATACGCAGGCGCCTAGTGCTCGCATGTGACGATCGCGAATTTCTAAACCTCCTTTCTGCTTCCGCCTTCGAATGTCCTTAGAATGTGACATCATGGTCATGTTCTACCGATCCCTATCCGGATCCACTATTGGGGTTTCCGCCGCCAGCCGCTATGACCAAAAGGGCGGGAGGGGGTGTCTATAAATCGTGAACGTTGTCGACGCGACTTTCTATCATCCCTTTGTCTTCGACGCTTTAACTGGAACAGTCATCAATCTTTTTCTTCTATATTTCTACGCACACTTCAACCATGAGTGGCTTCCCTAAGAGTTGGAATGCTCCTAGAGCAGGAGGCAGTCCGGGCGTAAGTTGGCGACATGGTAAATGCGTGGTGCATACTCGTCAACTGACACTTCTCTATCGCAGACTATGATTACTGGCGTCGGCGTGGTCGCAGCTGGCCTTTTAGGCTGGGCTTACAGCCGGAAGAAACATATCGAGAACAGAGATGACCCATACAGGCCATCTTGTACGTTACCCGTTCTTTTCTATAATCAATCAAGTTCTCACAATTGAATGCGCTTCATATACAGGGCAGGAACGTATTAACACACTACAATCTCCTTCTACTGGAGGGACAAAGGTCGTAAACGCAAGTGCGGGCAGTGAACCGCGAACATATTTAGACCCAAATCGGATTCCTTTACCTTCCAACGACAATAGTTCAGGTAGTGACACCTACCGTGCTTCGTTCTTAACCTCAGTTGCCGTATGTCATATCTGTCCTCTTTGGACCTTTCTTCTCTCTCGCACTTACCAGTTTAACTGTTGTATATTCAGGGAAATCCTGACAATGTCAAGCCACCTCCCGCACAACGTCTGAATGACAATAATACGACTTATACGAAGGCAAGTAGGATAATCCAACTTCAATTGGATGATCATATGTTAACCCTTCCTGATGCAGAATGCTGGTTATAAGGACCACTATAAGCCCTCTAACTACAATAAGACTCCCGGTGATTCTCCCGATGTGAAGTAGTGGGTGTAAACCCTGCGAGAACGTTAAATCGCAAGCCTATCAGCTGTGTTGTAGTAATATTTCGTGGTCATTGGGTCATCAGAGATTGAATATATTCTTGTAATCGAGTAGTTTTTTCATAACGTAGTATGTTTCAAATATAATCCGCTACCCGTTTATACATAAGTCATGCTGTTAAGATGAATTTTGCGTTGATATTCGACGTCGTGATACAAATGTGTATATAAAACATATAAAAGCAAAAACAAAAAAGTCTCGTTTATCAGTGAAGTTGAAATCTGAGAAGTGACATCGCTATAACACAATATAACCTAAAAGCACAAGGATTTACATAGGTGAATGAAATAATGAAGGGTATGGGGTATGTTTGTCAAACTTGAGGCAGCAAAGTGATTCACATAGCACTTTCCGGATCCTCCAATCTCCTCTTGGCGTCGATCGACGAGCTATCGGCCACGGTGAATGTCTCCATCTTTGTATTAGCCAACAGAAATGAAGTCAGATTAGTGCAATCCAACTCAAACCACAAGGATAGACGACAAACCTGAACGTGTACTTCATTGGGTTCTTTTTGAGTATGAGTATGAAACGAGATTGATCGTTGACCTCGTAAATTGTTTGTCTTCGCTCTGAACGCAGAATTTCCACCAATGTCACCACTATGGAAGAGAAGTAAAAAAAATCGCATC